ATTCCTTGTAATGATCGCAACGCTCTTACGCGAATCGGAAATAAGATCGACTTTCTTTATAAATTCGTTTTACTATGTTTTTCATATTTTTCCGCATTTATTTGGTTACTTGTCGTTGGCTTTCGCAGAGATCCGGTTCCTCTGGAAAATTAGGGTTTTCCTAAGTTTCCTTATTTAACGGAAATCGACAAGTGTGAATGTCGGTTCCCACAGTGTTAATGAGTGAATCCACTGCGAGATCCGTATAAAATTTATGTTGATTTTTATTTGCTAGTCTCGGGCGAGTGATTAGGGGCCATGGATCATTCCATATAAAGATAGATGATCCAGATCCCACCCGTTTGATAACTCTTTTGCTAACCAGAGATCTAGCAGAGACTATGCTCCTCCAGCCATATGACGGAAAATATGATCTGATCGGTTCTAGAGGTGAAGCGTTCCTATAGTACCGACCTTTGAAAACACGAGAAAACAATGTATTTGGTTTCTATATAAGGCACCATAATTGCTTACCAAGCATTGCCATGTTGAAATCCTCGAGATCCTTAAAACCCAAACCTTCTTGTTTCTTATCTAGACACAATTTATCCCATGATTTCCAATGCATTCCTCTTGTACTTCCCCTAGGGCTCTACCAGAATTGTGCTACTGCACTCGTTAGTTTCATTGTGGTGGCCTTAGGTAGCCTATAGCAGGACCCTACATGATTCGGTAAGGCCGTGACTACATATTTCATAATCACTTCTTTACCCCCTTTTGTGAAAAACCTAAAAGTCCAACTGTTAACCCTATTATTTAATGTTTCATGGACGAACCCAAACACATGTATCTTAGATCCGCTTAAGCTCTCTGGTAATCCCAAATACGATCTCATACCTCCTATATTCTGGATTCCTAGAATATCCATTAACTCTTGTCTGTTTTCTTTCCCAACCTTGTGTCCGAATTGAATTGAAGACTTCTGGAAATTTATTAATTGACCCGAAATAACCTTCTATTCCTTAAAAATGTTGAGAATGGTATGAAATTCCTCCGATTGCGCTTTACAGAAAAAACTATCATGTGTAAAAAGAAGATGGGAAATCGATGGACATGCTCTGGCCACCTCACACTCCTCGCCACATCTTTGAACTTTCCACGAATTCTCGAAACCCCTTCTTCACTGAGTATCTCCCATATTTCTTTTTTAAGATTAAGCTCTTCAGAATCAGCGTCATCTTCAAGTGGAGGAATCTCCGCATCAGATTCAACAACATCTTCATCGTCAATGCTCAGTCGGAGCTTCAACATCCCGTGAATTCTTCTCATGAAAGTATTTGGCTCGTTTAAGCTGAGTCTAGAAGTGAGAAGGATCTTCTCAAATATGAGAAGAGCACGATCTTTCAAAGACTTCTCATTTTTGTCAGCTTCAGCTTGTTTCCTTGGCTCGTTCATGATGGCATTCGCTGGATTGATCCTCTTCTTTTTCTTATAAGATATGTAACCTCCTATGCTGCTGTCTTCCACTGTTTGAGCTTCCATTATCCTCTCCATGTCTGCTGTCCAGCCGTCTTCCCCTATTACGAGACAATATGGTAAGTCCACAGCACGGTCACAGGCGACGATCTTCCTGACCCTGTCTCTAAGAACGCCCTTGATCACTTTGCATAGTTCTTCAAACTTCTCCTTTAGCTCCTTTTTTTCTTCTTCTCGTCCTAAGTCTCTTCCAGTTTCAAACCTTCCTTGGTTGCAGAGACTAGCTTCTTTCCCTTTAATTCCTTGAGTTGGCCTATGGCATACTCATCGATTTCATCAACTATGTAAAGAGCCTCGTACACTTTATTATTGAACTTCTCGAGGAGTGGAGAGTTCTCAACAGCCTTTTTGCTCTCAACCGTGACGTAGAAGATATCCTCCTGACCTTCATCCATCCTTGTCATGTAGTCCTTGAGGCTGGTCAACTTCTCGATCTTAGTCATGTTTTGAGAGTTATGGTGGATACCGAGCTTTAAATTATTAAAGCTAACTTCGTAGAACTTGTTGTAATCCTCATTCTTCTCAGAAATCTCAAAGAAGAAATCCATGCACTTCTTCACGAGGTTCTTGTGGATGACCTTAAAGATCTTGTTCTGCTGCAACGTCACTCTTGAGATGTTGAGAGGAAGATCTTCGGAATCGACAAAACCTTTGACAAAGTCAGGGTGCTCGAGAATGATGCCTTCGCAATTGTCCACGATGGAGACATGGCAGACGTAGAACTTGGGAACAAAGAGGGCTGCTATGAGCTCGAGCTGTCCTTCAACAGAGAAATGCTTCACAGAAAGATGCTCTACCCAGGCATTGCTAAGACTCTTGTTGATCTCATCAAGGTTCCTCTTCCAGATAGGCTTCTGCCTCGTTAGACCAATTTTACCTCCCAAAAACGTTTTCTTGGCAGACCCCTTTCCATGCTTGAATTTCTCGACCTTTATGTTCTGAATCCTTAATACATTAACTGTAATAAGATTCCTAACAAAATAGGAAGCAGCTGCATCCAAACCAACAGTTCTCCACACAATTATCAGAGACTCATTCTCCTTATGAGCTAATCTGTAAGGATCCTCGAGACCTTCATAAAGACAACTTTCAAGACTTTCATACTCAACATAGGTTTGACCAATTTTCATATTATCCTCCTTGTTCTTTCTCACAGAACCTTCAGAGATCCTAGACTGACCCATACCAATCTCCCCTGCAGTTTTCTCCTCATGATAATACAGAGTATCAAACTCCTCTTGATCAAATACCAAATCCTCATCTTTTTCAAACTGCTCAATTTCAGATTCACCAATCACATGTGTTTTGCTATTTCCATTTTTCTCCTTTACCATCTGTTTTAGCCAGCAATCTCTCAAGAGCTTATTGCCTTCACCAAGCTCTGGTGCTTGGTGTGGATACTAAGTAGGGAACTTGCTGTCGTAGAAGAACAAGTTGTGACTTGGATCGGTTACAGAAACTTTTATCAGCTCTTTTCTTTCATTGTAAGTTCTAACAAAGAAGTTAACTACATTGGAAGAACCATCTCTCTTCTCTAATTCTCTCTGCAGCTTTCCCCACTCTCTCTCAACGTTACTGATTGAACATACACAACAGCAACAACACACCATGTTCTCCTCTTGTCCACAAGCCGACCATAACACATCTATAAGATACAATAAGCCAGAGAGTGTAATTGCATTCTTCTTCTTCTTTCTCGTGATCTCTGCATTTCTAAGATCTCCTTTATCTTCTTTCTCTCTCATGGGATCCAAGGAACAGTCTATATCCTTTATATCAATTATGGACTTACTATTCGTCGCTAACAGCATCTTTTTGAGTTCCCAGATTTTTCTTATCGGAGTTAGCTCAAGATTATAGTTACTATAACTCATTAGATTCGCCATATCTGCTATCTTTCCTCTTCCTGGAGCTTCATACAACATGTAAACCCTCTTCCAAGCTTTCCCTAAACTTTTATCATACTCTTCACCGTCTCTAAACGCTAAAAGATCTCCCATAATCTCATCTTTCTTCTTAAGTTTGTGTGCTGTATTTCCCAGATCACAATCATCAACAAGCTTTCTATTTCTCATGTCTTTCTTAGCACCAACATCATCACTATTGCTGAGTGCTTTCTCATGTCTCCGACTTCCTTCATTAACTTTGGGACTTTCAGTATTTGCTCTCTTTTCTCCACCAGATACGCTTTTGTGCTTCTTCTTCTTCTTCACTTTCATGAAGTCTCCTATAGTTTCCTTGGGTTCTCCATAATTTTCTATTGTTTCATCATGAAGCTTCCTCACTTCATTATGAGCTATCAACCACTCGTCTGTCTGTTTCTTCAAGTTGGCTTCTTGAAACCAAAGCAACCGATCAAGACAATATGATCCATAATGACTGAGCGTATTAGATTGATAATATATAAGAAGAAACGTAACTCTCCATGTATCAATGTACACATATTTTTCTTTATCATGTCTTTGCTTGTATGAGCGGTTCTTATAGCTACCATATCGTCCACTACCTCTTGCTTTAACTTGTTGTTCTTCCTCCTCTTCACCGGTTCCCTTAAAATTGGCCATCAAAGTTTGTGACCTAGATTCCCTTACTTGTTGAATTCCGGCGTGTATTGTATTAATAGCATCCCGAACAGCTTTTGCGGTGCTAAGTTCTCCAATTTGTAAGGTTAACACCTCTGGTGTAGATTGGAATAACAAAGCAAACGCTATATAATGCTTCTTTTCCGTGTTATCTCTGGACACAATAGCTTCCCACACCTCGTTTATGAACCAAACAATCTCTATTCGCATGGACAACATGGTGTAATTAGAGGATTTTAACGTCAGACACTTGATAGAATAGAATACAAGCTCTTTGGATTTTAACTCAAATCCCTCTTCCTTCTCGTCGTCAACCATAGCCATCTTCTTCTCTGAAAGATCAGTGATCATCAAGCTTCTCTTTCGATCTCACGAACAACAACGAACATCAATGATCTTTATGGCTCTGATACCAAATATAGAATCACAATATATGAATCACAATCAAACTTATTAAGAATAACTCTCTTATTAATCTCTATGAGAAAATTACTCAAAACTCAAGAACTCAACTCACAAACTCTCTTAGGGAAAACTCACTCAAAAACCCTAAGCTCTCACACAATCACAAAGACTCATTTGTTATGCCACAACCTAGCATCTCTTTATATAACCTCACAAACTTCTTAATCTCATTAGCTAAACATAAATAGATAATTTCCTATTCTATAACTCAATAGATATAGGTTTCTTGTTCCTCAAGGTATTTCAAGTTTACTCCAACAGAAAAATCTGCAGGCGAGAGGGATACATGGTGATATATGGTGTGATAGACGTGCAACGCAGAAGAATCGGTTAACAATGTGTTTTTTGAATGCCCTCCAGCACGTCATGTCTAGGCACTATCAAAGATTCCTTCCAATCCGGCAAATTTCCCTACAAGATCTCTTTTCACGAATATGGATCATTTATTTTGGCGAGTATTACCTAAAATGGATAATGATCACTTTGTATAGATATTGTGGTATATTTGGAAAGAGCGAAATAACAAGAATTTTAGTAATTTGGACGTGGACCCCAGGGACACACTTACATTGGCAGAGACAGAATCAACTCTTTTGGAGGAAGCTCAAGTGCTACATTCTCAGAGAGTATCACAACAATGGGAGGCAACGATCAAATCCTCGATACCAGGGCGCTGGTGTTATACAGATGGGTCATGGAAAGACAAGAAAATGTTTTCTAGCCAAGGCTTGTATAGTATGCTCGAAGGTTTTGTTGGTTTAATGGGAGTAAGAAATGTGAGGGCTAGTCTATCACCTCTCCAATCTGAGGTGGAAGCGCTTATTTGGGCAATAGAAAGTGTGAGGAATTACGTTAATACCGTGTCACTTTTGCAACAGATTCTTCTCAATTGGTGAATATGGTTTCGGAACCAGAAGAATGGCCAACATTTTAAAATTATTTAGAAGATATTAATACACTTAAAGGCAGTTTCCACAGTTCAGAGATTATATATGTACCAAGAACATTGAATTCACGGGTGGACAGTCTAGCACGCAGTGTTAGGAAACAATCGTCCTTTGTCGTTCACATGGATATATAGCTACTGGTTTGGTTTGCAGAGTCAACATGAGTCTGTTTTCTTTCAATCTAAACAAAAAAACACATACAGTGAACATAAATTTAAAATGCAATACAATAAGCACACAACAAGTAAGGAAACACTCATAACTTAATTAGTACAATAATCTCAACTCACAAACTTAAAAATCTCATTCACCACGGAACATTCCGAATTGTGCCCATATGTGTTTGACTAGATCTGCTTCCAATTCGTGATGTACATTTGAATCACGCAACTCAGATCTAGCATGCACATGATTTGCAAATAAGGGTAGCACTTCGGTCGAGAATGGTTGTTGTGTACTCAACCTACTTGCCTCAGATTGATCATTATCAGTCCAATATTGAGCATATGTCTCTCGTTCATCCTCAACAATCATATTATGCAATATGATACACGACCCCATGATAATAGCCAAATTGTCTATGTCCCACCTGCGAGCTGGCTTACGAATGATTTAAATCAAGTCTGCAACACTCAAATGCATGTTCGGTATCCTTCTGACACGCCTCCTGACGTTATGAAAATAACTTGTCTTTGTTCACTTTGTGGTAACCTAATCGATTTGACAAAATTAGGATAAGAAGGATAGATACAATCAGCTAGATAGTAGGCCATATTATATGGATGTTGGTTCACAAAGGAATTCACTTTTTGGGTATTTCCTTGTTCAACATCATCGAACAGCGGTTAATGGTCTAGAACGTATATATCGTTCAACGTGCCCGGACATCCAAAAAAGCATGTCGGATCCATAGATCATGAGATGCAACTGCTTCTAGAATAACAGTTGTGGTTCTATTATCTCCCCAAGTAAATTGACCTTCCCACGCTGTAGGACGATTTTTCCATTCTCAGTGCATGCAATCAATACTCCCAATCGTCCTCGGAAACCCTCGCATCTCACTAACACGTAAAATTGTCTGGAGGTCATCTTGAGTTGGGGATCTGAGATACTCTTGCTCAAACACCTGTATGATTCCCTTTCAGAATCTTCGTAAGCGCTCTAAAGCAGCAGTACCTCCAATTTTGATGTATTCATCCACCGCGTCAGCTGCCACACCATAAGCTAACATTCGCATGGGTGTAGTACATTTTTCTAATGGAGATATACCTTCTTTCTTGGATGCGTCAGATCGTTGGGTAAAGTAGTTGTCGCTGCTTGATAGGTCTCCAATACTCTGAGGGAAATTATGTTTTCGCATCCAGAATCGCCGACGAAACATTGTATCGTCATATGTAGGTTGATTAGCAAAGTAGTTGAAATTAGTCTTTGATTTGCTGCTGCATGGTCTCTTTTGAAGTATTTTCTCTTACTACAAGCTGCATATTCTTCCTCTATCTTGTTTTGACGCTCCTTAAACCGATTGATGATACACCTCTCATTAATTTCAGACTGCCTCGTGCAAGCTTCGACATCAAAAAGAAATTCTTATAGATCCGTTGAGATTTTTTTTAGTAAGGTAAGATTTATGGTATTGGTACATTAATGGAAGAATGAGTTCCAATTTATAAAAAATGGAACCAATGAATTGAGTTGTTGTAGCCTTGGATTCGAATTGAGTGGTTGAAACCAAAAGTCACGGATAATAAAAGATTCTCTTTTTAATAGCCAAAAAATCACGGACAACATTATTAAAGTACAATATGACAATACAAATTATTAAAGTAGAAAGTGAAAAACACACATTATTAAAACATAACATGACAATACAAACTAATAAAGTAGAAAGTAACAAACACACATTATTAAAGCACGAAATAAGAAAATACAGATAACCACTTGACAATAATTAATTTCCAAATAGATCATGACTCAATTTCTGCAACAGCTCTTTGTTCTTGTCATCGAGATTCTACTTTTCAGTTAGCTTGGTAAACATCTTCATCTTTTTATCCTGAGTATTTTCCTTAATCAATTGGTTTGCTTCATTTTGCATCATAACTATTTTGTCCAACCAATCCAACTCTTGTACCTTGAATTCTTTAAATTCATTCCACTCTTCGTTGACCACTTCCAAGGATGCGCCTTTACCTTTCTTTTTAGCATTTTTCTTAGCAGCATAATTGGACGAGCACTAGATCTTACAGAGTTTTAGATCGACTGCTTCCAGAGCCAGTATTTCCTCCTACCTGACTACCATAACGTGGTTGATCATGTATAGCGAGCCTTTCTTTTATATATTTGAAACATCCTTTACCCAGCACTTGAATATAATTCATGTGTTTTCACCAATACATCATCCTACGACCACCCGCTTTGGTGCATATGTTTAGCGTTATCATAAGCGCCAACCCATTTGTTCACGCTTTTGTTAGCATAGTTATAGTGATTTTTTCATGCTTCTCCATCACGCGGAGGATTAAATGAGCAATGTTCATTACAGTATTCAGAAATTTTACCCCAGTATGACTCACCTTTTTGGTTTTTGCCAATAATGTTGTATGTTCCAAATTTATTCCACCCACTAAGTAGAACCAAATTTTGCTTAGTGGTCCATTTGGGACTTCTCCGACGAGCAGGAGTTGAATCTTCTGCATCCAGAATGGCTTCATGAATACCGCTAATACCACCAAGACCCATTTCTGTAGAAAAATCGGGAAAATCAGTTGCTCCAACATTCAAATCACTTACATTACCAATTGGAGCAGAAAAATATGGGGATGCTTGAGATGGATAAGACTTCATCGATCCATGATATGGACAATAATTTGGAACGGCTGACGGCATGAAAGAAATATGGTGGATAACCATAATTTGGTATATGATGGGGTTGGTTGGGAGATTGATTTTAAAACTGATAGTTGTTGGGATATGGGTAGTTAAAAGGGTAATTAGAAGAGTTTTGGGTGTTGAAAAGGTTATTGTTTGGATGCATTTAGGAAAACAGATATTTAAAGCTAAAACACAAGTTTATTGGAGACTAAATCTTTTTTTGTTGAAAGACGGCTTTTTTCTCCGTCCAAATCAAATGAAAATAGTCTTTATTTATAGGGAAGGAAAAATTATAAATTTTTATAAATATTATGAAATAACTGAAGTTATATAATTGAGATGAAAAAAACATGA